GGGGCCTGAACTCTGGGCCTGGACGCTGTCCCTCAGCTCTTCAGCTCAAGGCTAGCGCTCTACCACTTGAGTCACAGCGCCACTTCCGGCTTTTTTTTCTTTTTGCTTATGTGATGCTGAGGAATTGAACCCAGGGCCTCATGCATGTAAGGCAAGCACTCTACCACTGAGCCACCTTCCCAGCCCATTACTTGTTTTCTTTTTCTTTTTTTTTTGTCAGTCGTGGTGCTTGAGCTCTGGGCCTGGGCACTGTCCCTCAGCTCTTCAGCTCAAGGCTAGCGCTCTACCACTTGAGCCACAGTGCCACTTCCAAGGTCTTTTTTTAAATTAAGGAGTGTGAGGTCAAGGCTAGTTTGGATGGCATGGGGAGGGGGACAGGTTGAGAACAGGGGAAGGAGCCCTTTGTTCTGAGATGCAAGCAGGGTGGACAAGCAATCTTGAGTTACATGAAAGGGGGTGCTAATAGCATCTGTTCTTAGCAGATGTGTCTACAAACAGTATGGCCCTCAGTTCATGGATTATCTCTTTTATAACCCCAGCGTGTTTGGGGAGGGGGGGAGATGTTTCAGTGCTAGTTCAGCAGCAAGGGCAATTTGTTTTGTTTTGCTTTTGTTTTTTTTTTTTTGGCTAGTTATGGGGCCTGAACTCTGGGCCTGGGCTCTGTCACTTAGGTCTTCAGCTCAAGGCTAGCACTCTACCACTTGAGCCACAGCGCCACTTCTGACTTTTTCTGCTTATGTGGTGCTGAGGAATCGAACCCAGGGCTTTGTACATGCAAGGCGAGCACTCTACCACTGAGCCACCCTAGCCCAAGGGCAGTTTTGTGATATGGTTGTCAGGAATAAAGTGAGTGCTTTTAGTTTTACATATCCATATATGGACTATAATTTATTTCTTTGTACCTCACATAAATTTCTGATGAAAATTTGTCATTTAAATACTGAAATATAGCAATATGGAAATAGATCCCACAGCCTGAGGGTTTGATATTGCAGCTCCTTAACGTATCAATTTCTATTTACTGTAGTGACATCTCCAACTATTTCTCACATGCCAATATTGTTTGTCATGTGTGACCCACCAAAATCTCTACTTTCTTAGCTACATGGTCAGCTAATATTTGAATAGAGACTTCATTAAGTGCTAGAAAACAACATGTCTCTCAGTTTTTTCAAAAGGCATCTTGGGACATATAGACTATACTCTCCTAGATAGATAGAGCTATGCCTTAGTTTCCACTCTAAAGAAGGGAGAGGGGAAAGTAGGGGGAAAGGCAGAGAGGGAAAGGTAGGGGGAGATGGAGAGGGAGATGGATTTATTCATGTTAATGATGTGCAAGTACAATGTTATTTATCAAACAAACAAACCCAGCAAACCTCTGGCACTAGGCCTGGCCCTGGGGGTGACAATGACAATAAAATATGGTTCCTGTCCTCAAGGAGCTGATAGTGCAGGGAAGATGGACAAGTACAGAGGGCATTGCCTGCAGTTGAACAAAGCTCCAGTGTGACAGAAAAACACAAGTGAAAGTATATAATGGGAGTATGGCTTTAGCCAGTTCAAAGAATTGGTCCTATTTTTTTCTTTAAATTACTCCATAAATTGTTTGAATTTATGTAGATGATTTAACTTTGGGAGCGAATTAGTCCATAAACTGTTTAAATGTATAAGGATGAATTATGGAGGATGCTGAAGTGTTTCCTGGGAGGCAAGCGCTCCCCCTCAGGGCTATAGTTTTGACCTCCAAGTTCTTTGGATGTTTTTTTCCTCTGCTATCCAATCCTTTTTCTACTCTCACTCTTTTCTTTTCTCCATAAAGCAGGACTTCATAGATTCTAAATGACGTGTAGTAAAGACAAAGTGACTTCATTTTACCTGTGCTGATAATTTTAATTCCATTGTAATTTGCAGAATTCTCAATCGTAATCCTCTGATAGCTGTGGAAGATATTCATCTTTTTAAATTGCCAGCATTAAAATATCTGTAAGTATTGGGATAATCTTAGAAATCCTGAGATGATCACTGCTGTGCTTTACATTTTCAAAGGTTAAGTATTTTATAGTTAGGCTAAGAAAGTAATCATTTTAGTTGTAACTGGATAATTTTTTAAGTTATTGGCAAAGGAAAAGATTAAGAAAGGAGGTATAATAAACAAGACAGCCAGCAGAAGAAAACATAGAAGTAGAGCATGTAAACATGTATAGAAATGTCACTCATTCCTGTAAGCAAAGACAGAGGTGTATATTATTTTAAAGAAAAATGCAGGGCTGGGAAGGTGGCTCAGTGGTAGAGCGCTTGCCTTGCATGCCTGAGGCCCTGGGTTCGATTCCTCAGCACCATATAAGCAAAAAAGAAAAA